ATTATTATGAAAAATTATTTCATACCAGGATGCACCAACAAAGAGGCTTCGACGAATGTGACTGGCAGATAGTTTGCATCTTGGGTTGTTACCATATTCCTAAACCTTAAAAACAATAGTACATATTGGACCGGTGGGGTATATATATGTGTTAATAGATTTTTCATTCTCTAAATTGGAAATTAATTAAGTCGGTGGGTGTGTGGTTAGCTTTGGCAAAACAAAAAAATGTATCCTGATTGCCGACAATGGATCGGTCACCATACATACAAAGTGAGATGTTGATTTGATGAAACTATATAACATTATAAAATAATCAATACATGATATCTCAACATGAAAAGCTCATTTGATCCAATTTTTTTTTTGTAGGAAAAAGACTGGAAAAGATTGTCACATGTTTTTAAATTTGTTCACCTTTTAGGTGGCTACTAACGTTGCTTGCACCTCATCCTTTCCAACTATATGCTAAAAAAAAACGAAAGAAATTAGTTATATCTTTGCATGGGATTGAATCATTTGATTACCCTTTTCTTTATTCCAGAAAATTTGTTACATTTTGATGGGTTTCGAGCGGGAAAATGAGTCTGTAATTTGCATGTAAATAGTTTCAAGTTACCAGGCTTTCAAGGTAAACCAGTTTGGGCTGTCAAATCTAGTATTGGGGTCGCCGTTTAGCTTTTTCATCATTATGTTGTGGGCTTCTTTTAAAATGCTGGATTGCTCTATTCGGCCCGGACGGGAGGCAAGTTTTGGACTAATGCATTATTGGTTCCAGTCTCCAGAGTCCCAGAGGATTCTAGCTCCTCCTTATTTAAGAGATTTTTCTTTGCTTTCTCTCCTAGCAAGCAAAACTGTTCTAATTTGCCTATTCCTCTGCTTAGCCGAAACCTCTCTAAAACCCTGAAGCGTACTCATCTAGAAAAAAGAAAGGTGTGGTTTTCAACCAAAACAATGCCTTCATATGAAGCTCTTCTCTCTGCAGTTGCCTCTCTCGCAGCCTCTGCCATTCTCTTACGAACCATTGCCAATGAATTCATCCCGGATTCCATGAAAGATCAGTTCTTTTTGCGCCTTCAAAAGATTTCATTGTGTTTATCCTCTCAGCTCACGGTTGTCATTGAAGAGTCTGATGGGCTCACCGCTAACCAAATCTTCCAGGCTGCTAATGTTTACTTGGGTGAAAAGTTGTCATCATCAACGCGAAGGGTCAAAGTTAACAAGCACGAAAAAGAGAAAAGACTGCAAGTGATTACTGATAAGAATCAAGAATTGGTTGATGTATTCAGAGGTGTGAAGTTGAAGTGGGTATTGTTGTCTTCTTCACGGAATCGTAAATTTGTTTCTAACAAGAAAAATAACACCAATGGGATGTTAAGGGAGGAAATATGGTACTTTGAGCTGAGTTTTCATAAGAAGAGCAGAGAGATGGTGTTGAGTTCATACTTACCTTACATTCTTCAAAAAGCAAAAGAGATAAAAGAAGAGAAAAAGACACTTAAGCTTCATACGGTTGATTATAATGGTACTGATTATTGGGGTTCGATCAACCTTGATCATCCAGCGAGTTTTGATACCATGGCAATGGATCCGAAGATGAAGATGGCACTAATAGAAGATCTTGATAGGTTTACAAGAAGGAAAGAGTTTTACAGGAGAGTAGGGAAGGCTTGGAAGCGTGGGTATTTGTTATATGGACCACCTGGCTCGGGAAAGTCAAGCTTGGTTGCTACCATGGCTAATTATCTCAAGTTTGATGTTTATGATTTGGATTTAAAGGAGGTTCAGTGCGATTCCGATTTGAGGAGATTATTGATCGGTACAGGTAATCGATCAATAATAGTCATTGAGGACATCGGATAATTCACTAAATTCTGCTGAAGATGACAAGGTATGGATCAATGAAGAAAAGCTCTTCTCTTAATTTCATATTTATAACGTTGGTTTTTTACTCAATAGTCCGTGGCTTTACAGGTTACTTTCTCTGGTCTGCTGAACTTCATTGATGGTTTGTGGTCAAGTTGTGGGGATGAGCGGATAATAGTGTTGACAACCAATCACAAGGACCATCTTGATCCAGTGCTGCTAAGACCAGGACGAATGGATATGCATCTCCATATGTCTTATTGCACATTTAGCGGTTTCAGGACACTTGCTTGTAATTATTTGCAAATTCAAGATCATCCACTTTTTGAGGAAATCAAGGGGTTGTTAGAGAAGGTTCAGGCAACACCAGCTGAAGTTGCAGGAGAGTTGATGAAAAGTGAAGATCCAGATGTTGCTCTTCGAGGACTTATCAAGTGCCTCCATAACAGGGCAAACGCTGAGATGCAGCAGGAAAGTTAGAACTTAGAACCGATATTAGGACCTTCCAAGTTTAGGAAAGTCGTTTACAATGTCTTAAATTGAACCACCCCCCCCCCCCCCCCCCCCCCCAGCAAAGAAATAAAAAGGCTTAGTATTTCCTTATGCACTCTAGTTTCAAGATTATAAGTTATATAAACTGCTTTTGTAGGCTTGGTAGATTGCGATTTCTGAAGCATTTTTGTGTCGTGCTCCTTAATTTAAATTTGATAATTCTGGGAAAACATTCACATAAAAAAGATCTGCAGAAACCCAAATCTATGCCTTTAAGTAGCTCCCATCAACTTGGCACTGGTAACCTATTCTAGATGTCAAGCAAGCCAATAGTAAATATTTTATTAACGTGTCATAAAAATAAAGCAAATTATTTCCCGCAATTATCATAAGTAGTACCATTCTTCCTAGTAAAATTATGTAAAATGTAATTTGTGTATATATGTCTTTCTTCAGCTCCTTAATTGGGCAGTGAATTCAATGCTAAAACAGGGCAGTGAAAATCTGTTTCTCTTAACGACCATTCTAAACCCTATGTTCCTTTATACCTTTGAGTATGGATCATAGATGCAAAGTGTGAAGCAACAAATGAAGATATGTCTTTCTTCAGCTCATTGATCCTCAAAATCTGCATTCACAGACAAGGGAATCCTTGTACCAAAGACATTTGTTCAGGTTAGAAAAGTAAGAAAAAAATCGGTTTAAGACAGAAGAAACATCAATAGAGACAGCAAGAACAAAAGTACCTTAGTTGTAAGAAGCTGAAAAGATCTGCATCGATTGAATTGCATCTACAAAATCACAACATGGAGATGCTCATATTCACATTTAAATACCAGCAAGAACAACATGAATAAAATGGAAGATAACCGAAGTTAAAGAATACCTGGCAACTGAATTCTGTATCTATCCAGTCAGAATCTTGCGTTGTTTGCCACATGAGATAATTTCGAGTAAGTCTCAGGTATATTTAGTAATCATGTCTCTCAAGAATCATGTTTGGCAGGAAAGTGAAGTTTTTTTACCTCAAAATTATTGGAATTTGAACTGCCATTATACTTAACTTCACTATTTGAAGGAGAACCAGTCGCAGCAGTTCTCACACGAACATAAGTTGCAAAAGAAAACCGATACCGTTTTCTACTAATGGCTTGGACGAATACCACAGCGGGAAACAAGACAAATCAATTGCAGGAATCAAGATATCGCATTTAATGTTTGTCTAAATTTCAGTAATGTGGATGGCTTCACAATCTGGAGCATTAGTTGTTTCCCTGCATTATAAAACATCAAATATATCTCTTCCAACAATATGCAACAAAATTCAACAACTTTAACTAAAATTTACCTAAATATCTGGCAACTTCCAATGAAACACCTTCTCTACTGAAAAACGATAAGGAAACGCTGCTAATAATTGCAAAGCTGATGGAATGGACCTACATGTTATAACATTTTCTCCAGTAGTAATATCAGAACACACGGAACGAGTCAGGACAACATTTAGGCGACCAGGTAAAGGTCTACACTCAAGTGGAAGACTCGCCCAGGTTTTTCTACCCATTACTATAGCGTTCTTCTTCTCAGGATCTGATGTTGTCTTTGTAAGTTCCTTGAAGAATTTGAGATCAGAAGGTAAACTCCATGGTAACTTGCCATCTTTTCCAATCCCCATTTCACGAGTTGCAGCCACTACAACATGGTAATTCCTCAGGGAATCACTCTTAGCTAGGCTCCTTAAATTATCAGCCGACATTGCAGAAAATCCATTCTTTGAAGTCTCACTGAAGCCTCTTAAGAGTTGTGACGATGCAAAACCAGAAATGAGATTGCAAAACCCATTTGTGTAACAACCCAGAAGAACCTGAAAATGGAAAAAAAAATTCAAATCGTGACAACAATATTTAATATAATCGAGACTAAAAACACTGGGGAAGATGTAAAAAGTAACCCATATAATTATACAAACCTTGGAGAAAAGCAAGTTCATCTGAAGACGCATAAAAATTGAGAAGAAAGCGAGACCCAAGAACCAAAAATCTTAAACTTTGGAACAAACAACCAAAAGGAAGAAAAATCAAGGATGGCAGAAACCACGAATCGCAGTTGCTCTGTCTATGTCCGAAACTGTTTACAGTCGGGTAGTCAAGCGAATGATATTTACGATAATTTTTATTGATAACTTGTTTAAAAAATGTTTTTACATTCTCATTTTGGCTTTACCCAAAAGAAATTTGCAATTGAGTTGGAAATAATCAGTTCCCATTTCCATGTCAAAGAAGAGGAGTCCATTACCCCATTTAAAGAAGGAAAAAAAAAAAGGAAAAGAAAACCAGTTATAGCTTGCAATTTTTTTTTTATCCATCTGATTTATAAAACCTTTTATCCCAATTCCCAAGTACCCGTTATGGATATTAGCATATAAGAAGGGAAAACACTATTTAATGTATTACGACATTCAGAATATGCGATAAACCCGAAAAACAATAACCAGGCATCACTCCAAGTCCAAATACAGTCCAAAGGACAACCATTATGCGCATGTGTATGGTATTTTATTTACATCGCATTTCCGTTTGTGACTGTGATACATCACCGGCAATACATAAGAAAGTTTTTTATCCATCTTGAGTATAGTAAGTATTGAATGCTGATCGAAATTCTGCCTTCTTTTTGGTCATCTCACCAGCAAAATAACTTCTTTTTCTGCATCATGCATACGAACATAAATACAGCAAACTAATGAAAATGAATCCAATTGCATGTATCGATGGCTGAATATAATAATCTTTTGACTTACCCGAGACTTGGCCTCTTCTTGACGATCTATATATGCAAGGAGTTCTTCCTGCCGTATTAAAGCTTCATGAAGAGCCTGGTCATTTATACAAAGCATAATCAATACAACGCCCAGCCAAATATATCAAAACTCTCATAAAAAAAGAACAAGACATGCATCATACATCAGGCTCGAGTCATTTAATAAACAAGCGTGACAGTTGGGGGACAATATCAAGAGAGGCTTGAATGCTTTCACAATCTTAAATCAAACAAGGTGGTGGCATCAAAGAAATCATCTCTACTCAAGTTGGAATCATGAATAACTACCTTTTTCGTAGCAATTAGCTCTGCTTCTAATGCATCCACACGATAAACAGCACCATTCAACAACTCCTCTTTCTCATGAGGCATCTCAAATCTTTTTGACTGTAGCATCTCAACCTTCTCTTCTAGATCACCCAGCCTTCTTAAGACAGATGACAGGAGGTCTGCCTCGGTAAACCTAGGAGCAGGTGAAGGGGGACGAGTTTCCTCCTTGTATGTCGGTTCAACATGCTGGTCAGGAATGCTACATGTCAAATCAGTTATACTCTGCTTCTTCATCAGATGCAACACCATTGTTCGGATAAGAGTAAAAAAGGTCAAGAAAGCTATAACCACAGCAACGATATGACCATAGATTCCTTTGGGAGTTTGCTCTACCAGCAGCAGAGGAGTCCCTGCAATTAAAGCCAGTAGACTTCATCAAAGTCAAACATATTGAAAAATATAGAAAGCAATAATCGAGCTCTGGTTTTGGTTACACTGTTCTCATGACTCATGATTGATTAAATCAGTGAAAATGAGCTAAAAGGCTTGGAAAACAGTGAGCGAGAGAAAGAGACAAGAGAGATGTCCAAAGCCTGGCAACTTTCTGTTTATTTTGGGTGTTGATTATCTCTCAATAAATCTTGACATTGATACCATATGTCTAACATGAGAATATGGATAATAAATGGTTGTAATACCATTTAAAACGCATTAAAATTAGGTCTTAAGCATCTACTTACATGCAGGATGATCCTGCAGTAGAATAAAGAAGAACAATTTATAGTTGAAATAGCACAAAATAGTTTCTCCTGTCACATTGGTTGAGTAAAATAGAAGCTTTTAAACACAGCTCATTGCTAACCTTTAGAAATATACGGACTCTGATGGGACACTTGAATCTCACATTCCGAATCTACAACCTTGTCAATCATGGGCACATATTCATCATACTCAGACGAACCACCAGCAGAGATCCCCCTACCAGCCATTCTAGCCTATACAATCATCATGGTATGTTGTTATGAGTTCAAGATTTAAGAATTTATAGCGTGAGACTGTAAGCTTACTTCCACTAAGCCATCTTAGGATGTTAGCATGTTACTTTATACAGTGAGCAAAGCATCCATGTATACACTTGTAAGTGAAGCACCCTTCGATAGATGAAAAGACTATCCTGGTTTTAGGTGATGTTTAAAACCATGAATCTGGCATGCAATGAATAAAATCCTTTTATGCCACTCAAACATTCATCGCATTTGCAAAGCACATACCTCTTCGCTAACAGGAGCCAATATTGGATGTAAATTGCTTCTAGTTGCCTTAGGAGAAGCAATTTCTTCCGCTTCAGATCCTGACTCAGCTGCAGATGTGTCACTACTCTTTATCTGATCCAGGATGGAAAAAAAGAAAGAAAAGCAGAATTAAATTAGAGAATATTTGACTGAATTCTAACAATATAAAACCCAAAGCTAAGCAGGCATGATATTCACAGGGAAAGACAATCTAGTAAACCATACCACAGGATAACATGGCTTATCATACGCAATTACACTTCCTTCACCGTTTGAAACTGTCACAATCTGTCTGGAAAATAGTGCTTCACGATTGGCAATCATCTGCATGAAGATATTCAATAAACATGTATGAGATAGCACTGAAAAACAAGTGAATTGGAGAATAAGGGTAAGTTTTTGCAGAAAGCGCAAATCAGACCTTTAATATATGGGGGTCATTCCAGGGGCCTTTGTCTGATCTCATACAACCTCCCTGATCAGCACAGGTGCAGCTACCTCCCAGAAATTGTGGCAACTCACTAACCAAGTTCAAGACATCAAAAAGTTTTAGTAGCCAGTACAATTAAATGTAACCAACATATCTGCAACCAAAAAATTTAATTACCTAGCATCAATAATTTCAAGCAACTTATTCTGGTAGTTTGTACCAAGAACCTGAGAACAATTTCTAAGATGAGGTAACTTCTATTCACTGAGAAGAGTAGATACTTTAACTCTAGAAAAAAGCCAAACTGCATAAAGATTTTGAACTTACAGAAATCTTACTAGCTGTTTTGGAATCAAGAAAAGATTTGACAGCTTTCAAGCCCATCTTAAAACCAGGACCAGCATTGACGATGAACATTCGGTAAAGAGTCTGCAAAGGGAGTATTGATGATAAACATTCCTGACAAATTTCTACCAACACAGAAAACATGAGCAATTTCACAAAATATCAACCATATCTACCTCAGGATAGTTATCACCATCAATCTTTTGCAGCCGCTTCACAAGATCTTGTGCAGACTTGCTAAACACATTATAACCCTATGAAGAAAAATGACTCAGAATGAGAAACATGCAAATGTAATAAAATCTTATTAGGCCAAACATAAAATTATGGCAGGGAAGACTGTAAAATCTAAGAAACAACATAAAACATACCATGCCTTGAACATCCAAAATAGTTGTGCCAGAATCTATGTGTCTCTTTGCAGCAATGGAGCAAGCTGGAAACTTAGTTGCAAAACACTTTTCAATTTCCTGAACATGGTATCTTACATATCTTTCCAAAGTTGTCACTCGCATGAGCTTGTCAGGTTCAACTTTTCCTAACAATTCAATGTAAACAGGTCTTCCTTCCTTATCCACCCCATGATAACCTTGAGGGTAGTACTTCAAAACTTCATTCAACTCATTGAGCTCAAAATCCTGATTAATCATAATAACAATTTAAAAAATGAGTCAGCTCTGATCCATATAAAACCGGGCAATAACTGAATAAACAATTTGGAAACAAAGTAGCTATGTCCTTAAAACTTAGAGGCAAATATTTAATGCAGTAACTAACAAAGATGAGATCACCTCCAAAATAGTATCAGCACCAAATTCTTTCCTCCATTGGATCATATTATCCCACATGTGCTTCGCTTTTTCGATATCAAAGTTCCTTGCTTTTAAGAATCTGTCACAGATGGAACTTTCAATAAGTACAGAGTAAACAAAAATTTGTATTGATAGGAACAATTGATGAAGTAATTCTTCATAAAATCAAAGAAGATTGCAACCTATACCTTAGTAGCATATGGTAATCATCATGCCTAGCAGGAAGCAACTCCTCCGAGATTAATGCCTGACGGAAAGCATCAACAGTCTGCAACTCCTCAATATCTCGAAAATCTTTAATCGAAACAGATAGGTCACTTTTCCTCCTACGACTTTTCTTCTTAAGAGTACGTCTGAATTTACTTGATGCCTTCATCGCTTTCTTCTTAAGATTCCCAATTCTAGTCTTCTTGTCATCTTCAGAGATTTCGAAATCCGATTTCCTATCTTTCTTTTCATCATTACTAGCAATACCTTCAAAACCTACATAGCAATCAAAAAGAAGTTCATCGATGATGCTCTAAAACTGAATTTAAACGGATATTCTGAAATAAAACAGAACTAACGGCAGTAACAATCAAGAAAATTAATAAGTATGAAATTATTAACCGACATCAAACCGAGACACTAACAGACCGTGGAATTCATAACTGATATCATAAATTTTTATTTCAAAAAAGAAAGCAGAGAAATTGAATTATGAAGATAAATTCACTTACAAGGCCTTGCGAAACGATCAATAGGACCCGACATGTTCAAAGAATCAATCGGCAAAAAGCACCGAAAGATCAAGAACGCGAATGAGAGATTATTTGAAAAAAAAAAAACAGAAATAGGTGAGAGTAAAAAAGAATTGAAGAGTACTATTGGGATCTAAAAGAAACGGTAGTTCAAAGAAATCGATCTTCGGAATTAACGAGGCTGCTGAAGCCTAGAGAGAAAAACCAACAAAAAAAAAAAATGAGACAAATAAAGAGCGTAAAAAATTGCAACGATTAGATCGTAAAAAATTAGCAAGTAATGGTCGTTGTATTTGTCGTCGGCGAAGGAAACGACGCGGGAGAGGATACGAAGCGCAGAGAAATGAAACGAGAGAGACGGGGGGTCCAGTGTGTCGTAAAAATATGTTTATCTCCGTTAGCGGTTGAAAACGTACGGTTGGGTCCCACCTGAGGACAGGTGGCGAGTTAAGAGTTGCCGTGTGTAGATTCCTTGGCGTTAATTGGCTGACGGTTAACAAGTTTCTGTCGCTGCCTTAAATTGTTTATTCTGTGTTATAATGGCAGGTGTTTTTTTGGGTATAATTCGAGCTACGCATTTAAAGATAGCGAATAAGCAGATGAACACCCGAAAGCAAGTACTTAGCCTTTGCCAAAGTCTTGGCCAAGTAACAGGACCATTCGCGTTTAGCTCATTTAACTTGTGTAGTAACCAAGGCACACAAAAATGGAATTTGGTGGTACGAGGGGAAAACAAGATATAGCCAGGCCATGCCAACCCAGCCCAGCACCACAGTAAGTAACATAATGATAAATTGATAAAATGCATATATCAGAGGCTTAAATATTACATCACCAATTTTAACTGTATCTGTACAATTATATTCACAGAAATTGTTATATACATATTTGGTACAAGATGAGACAACTGCTTTACAATGCCACTACCCAGTTTCTGATCAGCTTCCAACATTAATTCCTATTTACAATTGAAATCACCAGGAACCGAAACAAAAATAAGAACTGGTTAGTGTTTATTGTATGTGATCAAAATCAGAAAAGAAAGGGGAAGGGGGATGAGGAGCAGGAGGCAATCCGGAACACAATTACACTTTCTAGATTCAACATTCAAGTTTATTAACATCACCTGTCATGTGTATTTCCTCAAGTTCCTTTGAGCCCGAAACTCACCAAGTTTGTCCCTCAAGTCAGCTGTCAGGTAGCATCAGAATATCAAGATATTAACAAGAAAAACAAATCATGCTGAGAAAAGATGAAGGGCGTCATACTACAGTTATGATTTTCGACACATTCCTTGAGAAATATCAGAAGATTTTAAGATCTCTGCCCTTGAAATAATTACACTTCAGTTAACAAATAAAATTTACTTTATTTTGGAACAAAATAAAAGACAAAGGCAAAATTCTACAGTGGAAAGAAATTCATCAAATAATATCAAGTATCAAGGATACAGCTGTCAGCGAGAGAAGCAACCTCAAAAAAGGTAAAAAAAAAACTCAATTCTAGGTCACCGTTATGTTTTTGACGGTCAACATAAATGGGCAGAGAGAGAGAGAGAGAGAGAGAGGGGAAGTACCAGCATCCTTGTAGCGTTCCTGATTAATAGCCTCATATAAGTTGCAGACAATATTGAACTCCTCCGTATCTAGACAACGCTGACCACTTGGTCTGAAACCATAAATTAAAGCATGTTGCATTCTAAATTCTCAAATTCAAAAAAAGAATCTCCTGCAAGTGTAAACATGTCTAATTCTCTTAGAAAAATAGCAAAAAAATCTCCAATGGGGTTTTTAAGACTAACCGGTCTAGTTCAGTGAATAATAAGCCATCTGAAGCTGGGGACTGCATTGAAAGCTTCCCTGATTCAATCACTCGAATCCCATCACTGTATGCCAAGTACTTGTTCACTTGTATAGGTACCTGCACAGCACATCACGTAGGCTTCCAAGGTCATATTTCTGAAAAACATTCATAATTGTGTAGGATATTAATCAGCCCAGAAAGCAAACCCAAAAATATGTGTATGAAATTTAAAGATTAAACCATATCTCACAAAAAAAATATAGTTTAGGTGGCCAAAAAGACCCCAATAAAAGGGAGAAACAATGTGAGGTCATTGCAAAAGCATAGACAGCCAGCCACAAGAATGCTTCTCTAGAAAGACAGCATTTTTGCCCTAATGTCGATAATAAAAAGAAAGCCAATTTTCCAGGACCATTACCACTTATCAAGGTAATATATTACTTAAAAGAGGGGGGGAAATTCTAACAATGCCCTACCATATTCTGAGGTATCCTTAATCATTAAACTGCACAATCCAAAACCATATCTTAGGTATTCTTTCTCCTCAACACCGAATCTTTGAAACTATCAATTAGCGTTATGAACCATCTTATACATCTTAGCTGTTGGAAAATACTAAATAGCAAGAATTTAAAGCATCATGTCAAAATAATCACTAGTTATATGTTAACATGCTTCAAATGACCGTTATAGTATCCATCTTAGACCTTCTCATGATAGATGGAGTACTTGCTGAACCCAGCAGATGCAATTCTAAAATAATTATAGTTGAGATACTTTAGTGATACCAATCAAATGCTCCAAAGACTATTTGGTAAAAAAGGAATCATACCGATACTAGAGAATAAAACATAAAGGTACCTTGCACCTCACAGCAATGTTGATGGCATCAGAAGGCCAAAGGTCAAAACTGACAGATTCTGTTTCATCACCCACCTGTGAGAACATCCAACACGAGTCAGTGAAGACTACTCTACATGAATATCCCGGAGTTGCAAGTCCGACAAATGCTCTAAAAGTGGAAGGGAGTGAGAGAGAAAAATAGAGTGAACAGAGGTTCCATACTGAAGTAGATACATACCTTTGTGAGGTACAACTGAGCAGAATAGGCATCATGCACTCTTTTAGTAACTCTGACAAGCTTTACCTGCAGAAGAGCGGGCAATTCATCAAAATTCATAACCAGACCTCAGAGTAAAGACATGTCCCAATGATAGAGATGGCAGCATCTAGTAATGGTAGTGGCAATATGAAAATTAAATTTTGTTGAAATATAGGAACTGGGGCAGGAAAGGTCCATACCGTGTAGCCCATCTTGTCAATCATGTCCTTCACTACTTGATACATAATAGGTCTAGCCTGGAACAATAGCCAAAACATAAATTAACATCCACATTCGATACATAACCCAGTGTCGGAGAAGTTCAAATTCAATAGATCCAACGTGCCAGGAAAACAAGAACCCTGACTCAATGGGGAAGAGAAAACGACATACAATTTGGACATTGCGCATTGCTGCCATAAGCAATACACTTTGCAGCTCCACTGCAATTAAAACCACAATTCAAATTAAACATGACTGGAAAATGTAATAAATAGAGCCAAATGATAGGGATCATGTAAGATCACATACAAACAACGATTGGGAGAAGAAGACCAGTCCCATCTTCCATCTTCAGAACGATGGCAGGATGCGGTACATAATCCGGTAGATGCCCACCTTGAGGATTGTTCTGGACGCACTTTAAACGCCTACCATCCCTCATTTTGATCATATATCCATCAGCTACACTCCTCACCTCAACTACATGAAACAATTATGAAATACATCAGTTAATTACTCTCACATATCAACAACAACAAATATGAAGTGGTGGTCACTGGCTTAGCATCCACATACCAGCTTCAACCACACTGGAATTAACATAATCCTCGTCGTTTTCATTGAAATTCTCGGCCATGCTTCCATTCCCATCTGAAGATGAACCGAAACTACACTGCACCGTGGTCTTGCACTTCCGTAATTTGAGTTGACGAGAAATAGCACGCGCCTTACTCTTTCCATCAGTTACCCCTCGATATCCCCATATATCACTTCTATGCAATCTTGCCCTTGGGAAAGGCCCATTCACCGGCAGCGTGCAAACCCCAACTTGCTTGCTCCGAACGGCCGGGCAAATCACCGGTCCTTGCAACGAAACCATCTTTCCTCTTTCAGCACCCACCCCACAATAAACAAAATAAATGTCAAAAGCCAGATATTTATAAATGTTTACAGTATTTTTCGTTCTTTTTTTATTTGATCTCCCAATTTAGAGACTAAACAATCCAAAAACAAGATATAAAAATTTTACAAATTCAATCAAGTAAAATCGATAGCTACAAATATACACCTGAAGAGATTTCCTAAACAGGCAGTATTACTGTACGTATCAACAACCAAAGAACGGTTTTGATCAGCGATCAGAGCAAAATTTCTCGAGAATCAAGAATTTATGGACGTTGAAGAAAAGTCTTGATTGACTAATATAAGTGGAATATGAACAAGCTTTTTAGGGAAAGGAAAGATAGAAGGAAATGACGACAGAAGAGAAGCTTTGAGAGCCAGCAAATAACCGATGAAGTGGAGGATCGGATAAAGGAACGACAGATGGGCAGCGGATAAGAGATTCTTTTTTATTCTTTTTTGATATTTACAAAATGACTACCCTCTTTCTAACGCGTTGAATTCAAATTACGCCTCTATCCCAGCTCCCCGTTTTCTTACCTACCGCTTCTCAATGGCGGTTTAACTTGGTAATTTGGTAAATTTTTGTTTTTTAATAAGAAATATTATTGGCTAAAAATATGTAAAAATAAATGAAAATAAATTAATATTATTAGTAAATGCTTTTATTTTTAATTGTGTATTTCTATTATTTTAAAAAACAAAGCCTAATTTTTAACTTTTGAACATTCTGGTGACACTGTCACAAGTCGAGACTTAAGCTTCGAATTCGCATGACTTCGAGATCCGGACATTCACCTTTTCGGCGTCTCAGATCAGTCTGATCGTCACGGTTCACACCCTTGTGAGGTATTGTCCGCTCTGACCCTCTCTGACTTCACGATTTTGTCCTACAAAAGGCGTTTCACAAGACGAAAATAGTGAAACCCTTATATACCCCAGTGATCTTCCTATTATGTTCGATGTGAGATTCATGACTCATCCTTAGGTCCGTGACATTCTCTCGCACCCAACCTCGTGACCCATAGTGAAACCCTTATATATCCCAGTGACCTTCCTATTATGTTCGATGTGAGATTCATGACTCATCCTTAGGTCCGTGACATTCTCCCGCACCCAACCTCGTGACCCTTATATACCCCAATGACACTCCTATTAGCCCCAGTGACCTTCCTATTATGTTCGATGTGAGAGTCATGACTCATCCTTAGGTCCGTGACATTCTTCCGCATCCAACCTCGTGACCCTTATATACCCTAGTGACACTCCTATTAGCACCCAACCTCGTGACGAAAATAGTGTAAACCTTTATATACCCCAGTGACCCTCCTATTATGTTCGATGTGAGATTCAGGACTCATCCTTAGGTCCGTGACATTCTCCCGCATCCAACCTCGTGACCCTTATATACCCCAGTGACACTCCTATTAGCACCCAACCTCGTGACCCTTTCGTGACATCGTGACCCTTCCGTGACATTCTTCGGCACCTAACCTCGTGACCCTTATATACTCCAGTGACACTCCTATTATGTTCGATGTGAGATTTAGGACTCATCCAACCTCGTGACCCTTATATATCCCAGTGACACTCCTATTATGTTCGATGTGAGATTTAAGACTCATCTTTTAAGGTGCTTGACGTGGATCGAACGGTTAAGACTGGCTCTGATACCACTTGTCACGGGTCGAGACTTAAGCTCCGAACCCACGCAACTTCGGGACCTGGGCATTCACTTTTTCGACGTCCTAGATCAGTCTGACCATCACGGTTCACACCCTTGTGAGGTATTATCCACTATGACTCCCTCTGGCTTCACGGTTTTGTCTTACAAAAGACGTCTCACGAGACGAAAATGGTGTGAACCCTTTTATACTTTAGTGACTCTCTTATTATGTTCGATGTGGGATTCAAAACGTCCGTGACAATACAACGAAGGATGGAAAGGTAAATGTGGGATTTCGAAAGGAAGGGAAAACAACGGGCGAGTCTGTAGCTGGCTGCCCGGCTCTCATAGTGACGTCAACATTAGCCGTCTGTTGTAACAGATAAACAATGCCGGCGGTCAAAAATATCAAGACTCTAGATGAGCGCCACGTGTAACTTATTGTTTCGGACGATCTGGATAAGGCTCTATCCTTCTTACCTCCAAAAAATATCAAATTTCTGTCTTCTTCTTTAAATAACAAAATTCCTAAATTGGCCCAAACCCAATAATTTTGAAGGGATGAGGATGGGACGAGACGGTAAACTCATCCCCATACATTGCGAAATTTTCATTTTTCATTCAAAAAATAAGGCTACATTTAATAGATTTTTTTGTTATTTTCTTAATTTTTTACTTATTTTGTAGCTTTTTATCTTTTTTTTTTTCAATGCATCATTTATACTTCTATATTAAAATTATCCCCAATCTTTATTGTCTGATCAATAATTATACTATTGCAACATCACAAAATGATTATCACATCAACTTAATTAATCAGCTATTTTATTGTCATATAACCTTTATTAATTAGTCACTTCATTATAACATTAAATTAAATTTTAATTAAATTAATAGAACTATCTTCTAAAAAATTTTAAAAAAAAAGCAATAAAAATTTTGAAGGTACAAACTTATAGCTACTTTAGACATGCTAACACTCGCAATGGTCAAGATGGTGATTGGAATGAAAAAAATAATAATGCAAAAATTTTCCACTTTGTTAATGTAACGAGAAAAAATCATTTTATTGTTTTAAAAAAAATCAATAAAGTATAAAAAAAATCCCAAAAAAATAATAATCTTAATTTCTAATCCACATCAATTCCACCTCATTTAAACACAAATTCTAGCTTAATATGACACAATAAGTAAATGAACACCAATAGTTACTTTTTTTTTTATTTTTGTAATTTTTTGTTGAACTTTGAATGGGTCTTGTCATAATATATAAATCCAAAATTTTATAGTTAAATTTAACAAATAGATGGAATCGTCACTATTTTTTTAATTAGATATGATTAGTCACCTAAAAAATTTATCATTTTAAAGAATTTTTAAGTTTGGCTAAGAATCTCTAAAAGAATAAGTTTGGATCTACAAACTAAAACAGAGTTTAGAAATTTAGTTATATATAAAGAATGTTGTAGCACTCCTACATGTCCATCTGAAGGATGATATCATATTTTTTAAATTTATCATAGAGTATTGAGTCTAATAGTTTCAAAATTTTACACTGAATATTAGAAATAATTCATAAGATTCTTCTATCAATCTGATAAAATTTTTAAAAATATTTTTTCACCTCAAGAGTATTCAAGAATGTCATTTGATTTATTGAAAAGACTCCATCATCGAAAAAAGTTTATTTATTTTTTATTATTTTTTTATCAAAAATATATTTAATTATTCAACTTTTTGGACCAAAATTAGAAATATTTTTTCTTTTGAAATTTCTAAATGTTTCACCATTTGACCATATTAGAAATTCTTTTTATTTTTTTATTTTTTTTATTTTTAAATTTTTCACTATTTGTGTCAATTTAGAAATATTTTTTTCTATTTTTTTGAAAAAAAATAATATGACAATTATTTTTATTAAAATTTCATTTAAATCATTCCACCATTTGGGACAAATTTAAAGAAAATTTTTCACTTTGAGATTTCTTAAAAATTTATCATTTGAAATTTTTAAAAATCTCATTCTTGAATAATTATCAAATATTTTCAACCCAAATTTATATTTTTATATTTTTATATTTTTTGTTTGAAAATAAATATTAATTATTGTTATTGAAACTTTATCTAAATTATTTCACAATTTGGGACAAATTTAGATAGAATTTCTCACTTAAAAATTTTATAAAAATTTACCATTTGAAATTTTTATAAATTTCATCATTGGATAATTAATATCTATTTCGAAAATTTTATTTTTTATTTTTTTATTTTTTTATTCTAAATTTAATCATGTAAAAATACCAAAAAAATAAACACATAAATAAAAATAAATAAATAAATAAAATACTAAAAAACTTTAAATATATATATACCAAAAAATAGCTCGACTGAAGCAGCTCGGGGTGACTCAGCTATAGACACATAAAGAGGCTAGAATGGCTTGGCTCGAGGCATGGTTCGTGACTTAGCTCGACTTTAGTTAAAAGTTGGAAATGGGTCAAAAGCAAGTCAACTCTTCAAATCAGGTCACCCAGCAACAAAACGTGCAAATCCTGAAAAATTACTTAACTGCAAAACGGCGTCATTTCAAGGCCCTATATAAGGTCAAATCTCTGCTTTTTGCTTTAGATATCTTATTTCCTTTCTTTTTCTTTCCCTTTCTTTTCTCTCCCTCTCTCTCTAACAAGTTGAACTTCAAATGAATTTTGGGGAATACCATCGAAATCTGGGTTGAATTGCTGAATGGTAGTCGAAAAATTCAATATTCACCGAAATCTTCACCAGATTATAGAAAACCTTATTGAAAAATTCAACCGACGTCAAAAAACTCATCAAAAAAATTCAACTAGAACTGAAAATTTTCGTTGAAATCTGAAAATTTTTCAAAAAATTTGCAAAAAAAAAAATTTTTCCCCAAAAAACTTCAAAATTTTTTTTCTCTCTGCTTGTTGTGTTTTCGTGTTTTTATTTTTTGTGATTTTTGTTTTCTATGATTTTTGTTTTATATGTCCCTATTTCGTGTGATCTGTCTGGTATTTATAAGATTTTAATCTAAAGAACCCTAATCCAAGTAGGAATCTCAATTCTTTTCAAACTTCAATCCTTAAACCCAACCCAACCCGTTCAAACCATTCCACTCAAACTAAACCACCTATTCTTCCGTTTTTTCAGCTTTTTCATTTTTTTCTTTTCATAAAATCAATTAGACCTCTGGACAGATTGAGATGTCTACAGGTCTGAAAGCTAATTTAGGCGATTAAGGCTCCTTTCTGTCATCCAATGTTTATGGCTGCATAGGTGGGTAGGTTGAACTTTGAATCAAATCACTGGTAAGGCTAATAAAGGCAGGAGAAAAAAGCCATTAGGCTATTTTAAAAGGAGGTGAAGGGTGATATTTTGGACTTTTGAAAATTAAGTTTGTGAGTTGAGAAAGAAGAGGCGGAGAATTGAGTTCTAGATAGATGAGACATGAGAAACAGATGAAAGTGTGAAAGAGAATAAAATAGAAGAACATGATTAAGACTTAAGACTAGGAAGGGTATAAGGGATTAAGAGTCTATGTACTATTTGACCAATGGTGACACATATGGGGTTGAGAGGTGTTTTATTATTGTGCAAATTCTTTTCATTTAGAGAATAATTTATTAATTTAAGAAATTTTAAAAATTTTAATAGGAAAAATTAATGGTAAAAATTTATTAGAGAAAATTTTAAATTACAAATTTAAGAATTAATATGTCATAAATAGAGAAATTTGAGAAGAAAAAAATTGATGAAAATTGAAGGGATAAATTTTTTGTATAAGTTATATGAAAAATAATTGAAGTTAAACGATTATAAATTGATTTTATTATTTATTAATTTATTATTTTGTATTTGAATTTTAGTTTTTTTTTTGTTATGGCATTTATTTTGTTGTTAATTTTTTTAGTATATTAGAATTGTTCTTAGTATTATTTTTTACAATTAAATAACATTTGAAAATGCCATTCAATATATAATAATTTAAAAGTAATTTATAATAAAAATTTTAAATCAATTAATGTGCCTAAAAATTAAATTATTTAATAGATTGAACATTTTAAAATCTATTACTTTTAATATTAAAAACTACTCTAAATAAAAATTAAAAACCACTTTTATCTTAAATAAATAAAAGACATGAAATAGTTTGAGCAAAAAAAAAAAAAAAACGCAAAATGAGAGTGTCATACTAGAACATGTCATATTAGAAATACAATTAAGCTTTTTTTTTTGTATATTAGAAACCAAAAGTTTCTTAAACCATCTAATTAGTGTTTTTTTTTTAATTTTCAATATTCTTACTAAAATAAATTTTTTTTTAATAATATTGATAAACTTTTGTTCATATCCAAAATCCACATGTATAAAATTTTCTTAGTATCTCTTTATAGATATAGATGTTAGTTATTGTTTAAATATGTATTGGATGTTTGCTATGAAAATAAAATTTGAGTTTTCAATACATTTGATTGATCAAAGCTTTTGCTTTTAACTTTTTTTGTTTTGATAATATAATTAAGTTGATCGTTTCAAATTTGATTACTTTTTCTCTTATATACATATTAGTAAGTTAAAATTTTAAATAATTTATATTTCATCAAAAATAATTAAAAAAAATTATGGCCCGATCATAGCTTGGCTAATTTTCTAGTATATTATTGAATCATAAATCCTAAAAAAAAAAAAAAAATTGATTAAAAACAACAAATATCTTTATAAAATAAAATAATATACAAACTGGGCCAAAAATAGTAGGCTTTTCAAAGACGGCATTATTGGGTGGGCCATGTTTCGGCCCCATCTAGGTTTAGGCTTCGTAAACAACAGAGCTTTCCCAACACCCAAACCAGCCCAAGACATAAACATTAATGTGCAACATTACCCTTAGTCGAATAGTATATGTTTAAATACATACACACACTTATATATATATATATATTTATATATATATAACTATAGTTAGATATATTCTAAAAATTTTGTTTAGATATATATATTTTTTACAATTTTAAAAACGCACTCTCCAACACTAATTGTCGTATTTATAATTGATATTTTAAGAAAATTTATATAATAATAGTTTACTAATAAGAGGCATATGAAAGAAACATAAGAAATCATTTACCTTCTTCTTCTTCTTATTATTATTATTATTACAGAATTTAATGTTACTTTTCAAAATTTTGGTAGATTGATGGAATAAGTTTCATCGTAAGAGGTAAGGAATTTCAACCCAAATGATGAATTTGGAAATATTTGTATTTTGTAAAGAAGAAAAAAAATCATCGAAGGTTAAACCTAACTAATTTAATTAACCATTAGCAAATTGCAATAAATTATAGAAAATACAAATTAAATAAATTTAAAAAAGTTAAAAAGTACAAGAACTGACCTTGTCAATGGATCAAACTTGGTCCGTCCTGGGATCTTGTAATTTTAACAAGATGACCAAATTTGTTCCATTGACACCAAGCTAGAATTTATTATCTCCCAGCCAACATATGGCTTAGAAAATAATCAGTGTTTTTTTTTTTTATCATATATATGTCGCAAGATTTAGTCGAAACTAGCTAGCAGTTGTTGTTAAGTTCCTCCGGTGAAGTTGGGCGGTGGCCAAATGCCTCCACCGCTGAGGTTAGTCACGTAAGACATGCACGAAAATGGCACTAGACATAAACCTCGGCTTCTAAGATCTCGCTTTGGTTCTTCATTTCCCTCCTCCATTGTTGAACCCTAATGATCATTTCAATGTTAAAACTATACTAAGTAAAGTGATTTTTGAATCCCTTTTGTCCCTCAAAGCTGTCTAAATTAATGAAATTGATATGAAAAAGTTGTTTTTCATTGGCAATTAGATCAGTTTTTCTTACCCCTTGTTTGGATCTGGATGTTTTATTGCCAGACGACTTCATATATGGAACACTTAATGTCTGTAAAAAACAAATAAATTATTCAGTGCATATTTATGATATTCATACATGCATAAACTGGCATTTGAATTGAAATCAGAAGATTATGGCTGCTACAGTGATCCATACTCCACTACCACTTAATATTACGTACGTACATTTAATATTCTGACAATTAATTGATTCTAAATGGGCATGACTGAGTGTTTGATTTCTTTAACTCATTCCAAAGAAAGTGAGTTCTGACCTATCCAACTAGCTAGGCTGCAGCAGATCAGGAATATAAAAGAACTTGTTGGAAATCAACCATGGATGGGCCTTTGCCTTTCCACGGTTTTCCATGTACGGGTTAGGGTAATTCAATTGCCTTTCCTTACTTTGGGAAATTGAAACCACACACACAGAGAAATCTGACTTCTGAGCAGATGTGGCTGTCAGGTCTGAGCTCTAAACTAAAGGGAGATGAAAAAAAAAAGCTCTCCTTTTTCGCCATCCTAGACCACGTTGATCATAATTAAGTTGTGCTACGTTCCCTCTTTCTTTTTGTGCCAAAAGAATAAATTAAGAAACAAAAAATTTCCATGGCTAAAGCTACATAGCCTACATCACAGCTCTATTCTTATATATATGTTTTTGCTGTTCAATGGGATGAATAAAATAATCAACGGTGTAAAATTGGACTTGGACCCCTATAAAGAACCATAGGGAAAAACCCTAGTCGATTGCCTGAGCCTTTAGGGTTAATTCTAGAAGCAAGTTGACGCTTGGACCCAAACTGGCCGACGGGTCTCATTCGAGGTAGCGTGTTAGAGAATATATGTAAGAAATGCAAAATTCAAGGAGAATGTTTGGGAAGTTACCTCGACTTGATTTTGAAGGAATTTGATGTATCCAATAGCCTCCATCAGTACGGACGCTGTATCTGTCTGTGATATGCAAAAGATCACACGTCATTTTCCATTAATTACCACACTAAACCATAAACCTTATTAAACTAAGAACTAATCTCTCAAATAATCTTTTGTCTTCTTTTCGGTTTCCTGCCTTTTTCTTTTGTTTTATTAGCCACAGCTACTAGTTGTTTAGTATATGTTGCGTTTTCTCTCCACCATAGCTGTACCTTTTTTACTGATGAAATTAAAAAAAAAACGAAAGCAACCCAGAATTTACCTTGCCAAAAGGAGCGACCAGTTGTTGGAGAGCTGCAATTCTATCTCCCAATTTCTCTTTCCTAACCTGTTTGATGCAAAGCAAATGATTTAAGGTTGGAAAACGTGAAATTGATAATCTGGTCTTTGAATCAGTTTTTTTTGTTGGTCCTTAGGCACCTTAAAGGGAGGGCAGGACGGTCGTGACTCCAAACGAGATTTCTTGGCTGCTGCACCTGCTGTTGCCTTTGGTTCTGCTAAAATGCTCGGTCTCTTTGACTCTGTTATTTCAGTGGGGAAGGGTGATATCTTTGAAGTGCAAAGAGTAAAGATCAGTTCAATGATCATCAAAAGCAGTTTAAAAAAGAAAAGAAAAAAAAAAAGGCATGAAGTCCTGGAAAAGATATATGCATACAAACGATTAAAGCTGAAGATACCCCATTGTAAAAGATGAGAAGGCCATATATATTTCTTTTAGTGGGCATAACTTTGAACAAGGAAAATCCTTAATTATGAAAAAAGGTCTTCAACTTTTTATTTTTATCCCTTAATCATATTCTGCTTCTTATATGTGTTAATCATGGTTGTTCAACTACCTATTAATGGAGTATTAGATTGTATTAAGAGATGCCAATTATACTTCATATAATTAAGTTGTTGAACACTTGATTTCTTCCAATAGGAGCTGACAAGAGATTACATTGCATGTTTTAAGGTCAATGTATGAAAAAAGAAGCATAAATATTGCATGCAGTGCCACATATATCCGAGCCATGGCCGTGCAGTGTTACAATTATACTGGCAATAATGTTTGTAACTTAAGGCATATGGTTTGTGGCAGAAATGAATGCTGCTACAAGAAACAATAGAGAGCACTTACTTTACTAGGGCTATAAGCTGGCCTTTGATTTGACTGCTGAAAATGGTGGTGATGAAGAACAAAAGAAGGGCTCTCTTTGTATATACCAAGAATATTTTGATCATATGAAGGATGGCCAAAACTACTGCTTCTGCTATATCTTGGAGGACTTAAGAGATCCAAGGCCTCCAAATTCATGTCAAAGGAGCTTGGGGATATTCGGGGAAGAAGCTTGGTTCAAATTTGAAATATTTATACTAGGATATATCTGGCTGAAATTCCCTCTACTTGGTAAAGAAGTAAAACTAGCAGTTGGGATAGAACAATTCTGGGTGGTTGAGTAAAATTCTGATCCAGCCGAAAACATTGGAAAACCAGATGATATTGTCTTGAGCAACAGCTTCTCGCTGTGATCATGCAAATGGCTGGTGAAGCTCCCTTCATTGTTATTCCAGTCTTGGATCATGGAACTGTTTTGAGGAGATGCTAAATTGATGTCATTTTTCTGCCTTGAATGTAAGATACCCCCATTATAATTTGGATTGAACTCACTGGTGTTCCTGCAAAGTAAACAGAAAAATGGAATAAATTTTCTAAAATGAACGAAAAAAATGAACAAGCCAGATATGGGAAGCAAGTGAAAGAGCTGTATGTGATATACTGCACTTTGTGAACCCACAAGTTTTATGAATCCAAAAGCAATACATGAAAAAAGAAAATATTAATTCTACTGAAAATCAATTGATTATCAACAAAATCTAACAAGTAAACTTTAACTACATAATTCTGATTGATGCACATCAAATCAGAAAAGAAAAGAAGGGAAAAAAAAAGGAGATTCCGGAGTTAAAGTAAATTCATGATGGCCTTTGAACTGTGAAGAGCCAGATATTTGTAGAAAGCATAACAAGAGAAAGAGTGCAAGGGTTAGGTGAACTTACAAAGTGATACTTGGGGTTGGGGTCCAACTCCAAGAATGGGTGCTTGCAACTCCATAACAGGTTGGAATAGGTAAAGAAGAAGACCCAACAAGCTGGTCTTGGAGCTGGTGTTGGTGATGGACATTTTCCGACTCCATAATGATAATTTTTTTTCTTCTTTTAAATAAAAGGGCTTGGAAATCCCAAGATTGAGTAATTAAACTTTTACTAACCAGCTTTGCTTCCAGGAATCTCTCACACTTCAATCAAAGAAACAGTTCAGGTGACACCCACATACCTTGTTGCTTTTAGCTAGGCAACTTTTCTCAGTTTTTCCTCTTTACTCTTTCAAGTTTCCATCTTAAAGTAGTCTTGAAAGGAAAGAAACAAAGAAAGAGAGAGGAGCTTGAATAATCCCTTCTCCATACCGTTCTCTCTCTCTCTCTCTCTCTCTCTCTGACTTAATTATTTATTTTTCTTTTCAGGCAAACCTTTTTTGCAGCTATCCCTCATACAAGATTTTGCTTGAAAAACTCTCTCTGTCTCTCACTTTCTTAATGTTAAAAATTAAAGTGCTTTATTGCACTCACTGCAATTACAGGAAGATGATTAATACTTCCTCTATGTTATGATTAAGATCCCTGCCTTCGATCCCAAGACTTTCAACAAAGGTCTGAGAAGAGAAATGATAGCAAACATGCTCTCTCATCCCCTCTCTCTTTTTCTTTATTTTTTTCTCATCCCCACATGTTCAAAGGCTATCTTATATGTTGTTATCCATTTATAAAATCAGCAATCAGCTTGGGCTTCATACAGTATTTCTCCAACATCAATGTGAATATGATTGAGACACCATAACTGATTTTTTGTGTCTCTTTGCATTGTGATTGGTCGCCTGAAATATTACTTAGTACAAAGTCATACTCTCCTGTATAACATGTCGGCTATGAAAAATAACATATGAATATATGATTTCCCTCTTCCTTTATCTTTACTTTAGCATTTCAGACATGAAGTTATGGTTTGAACTTTGATATTGCTGGTGCGTTTGCACATTTTCTCACCACCATTCATGGAATTTTTGTGTGTTGAAATCCAATATGAGGTTTTGATATTTCAGATATGCATATATAGATATATATATTATATATTCCTTTTGAGCGAGTGATGAATGATGATCAGTTCAGACTATATGTAGCTATGATTTTTATTGAAGAGCTAGCTTGTTTGCTCGGAATTCCCATGCGTAAAGGGGCCTCCCACAACTACATTCTCACCATTCCATTATAATTTATGTATAAGAGATTATAGAATAGGAATGTCGGGATAATCCCTTTCCCTTGTTAATGCCTTGTCTCTAAAAGCTGTCGTTTGATAAATTTAATTAAGAAGATTGAGGAGGGAATAAAAGAATTTGTTTGTTTTTTAGAAAGATTATGGAATATAAACGTGAAATTGTCTCTTTTCTCAATTTCAACATCATGATATTAAAGAAAATGCAAATTAAATAGAATTTCTATTGCATATATTATAATTATATTATATTATATATATATTATCCATGCATATTACTTGAAAATGCCGACCTCGAACAACTAAAAATGGGTGACATGCCTGCCCACTATTGTCATTTTAAGTGTCATAATGTGCTAGACAGGCAATGACCAGAAAGAAAAATGAAACTATAGAAAAATGAAAACTATCTGTTCTAGAGCAATTAGATATAAGCTTTGCCTTATTACATCTAATATCAATTATCATATATCAAAATCATATTATTTTCTATTGATATCATTAGAATTCAGTAATGGAAACCTATCATTGTCTAAAACATGAATTAATTTGATAATTAATAAGTATATATCTTTTATACAAATGAGATCGTAATCTAAAAACAAAAATAAAAAATAAAAAAATTTAAATTTATTAAATGTTATCTCATAAAAGTAGTTATATAAACGGATATTAATCCTAAGTTTGATAGTTATATACCTAAATTTCTTTCACTTTTCTTGGTTGCATGGTCTCATTTTCATTAATTCAGAGCTTGCATTTTAGGTGTAAGAAAATGATGTTTGCTTTTATTGTTGGCTAAAATATTAATAAATAAATCCCTAAACTTTAGTACTTTATTTAGATAAATTTTTATACTTTTATTATACTTAAATAAACCTTTAACTTATAATTTGTACTCAAGTAAATACTTGATTTTTAAACCTTTATTTTATACTTAAATAACATTTTAACATAAATCAATTTTTCGTTTGAAATAAAAAATTTATTTAGATATAAATCAAAAAATAAAACTTTATTCTAATGTAATAAAAATATAAAAACTTATTTAACCAAAATAAAATAATTCAAAGGCTTTTTTTAATATTTTAACCTTTTATTTTTTAAAAAATGAATAGTTCTCTTAATTTGTTTAGTTTCAAAATATTCATAATGATGCCTCAGATACAAAGTATTCTGATATTTTAATTGCTCAATCATTTCTTTTCTTCCCATAGGCCATAGTGGCAAACAAAAACACCCCCAATAACCCTAGAATCCCTACCCTTTGCCCTACTCAATTTTAATTCCAAGTTGTGATATACAACCTGTACACTAAGCCATATCCCCCTTTTCCACCCCCAACATTTTCAAATTTTCTATTTCAGTCTTTGATTCAGTTGAATCTCTCTCTCTCTTACAAAATTATGCTAAACATATAAATTATTTATTAAAGTAAGAAAAAATAGTACTATATGATTATATGACACCAATATATTTATATATCCTACATATGGGCATGTAATATTATATGAATAATTGATCAAGTGCTAACAAAATTATGAGCACACTTGTTTATTTACTATTCACATGTAAGTTATAATTAAGAAAATTGATATAAAATTTGAATCAAAATTTAGATCAATTAATTTATGTAATTATCTTTAAAAAAAAATACAAACATAAAAATTTTACATTTTATATTAAATGTTGATATATATATATATGTACATAATATAATGATAATTAATTTGTCTCTTATATTTTTGTAAAATAAGAGGGAGGGAGTAGTGAGTTTTACTTCTGAAATATCCCCATTGACCATGATGATGGGCATGGAAACAAATCTGTCAAAGTGCTTTTGTTTGCTTGTGAAGATGGAGAAGAGAAAAGGGTCATTATAATATTATATATGTAATCAGGATAGGTAGATTAAGTATGATTAAGCTGTCATTCCGTCAAGTATAATTACAATTAATTTGATCAGTCCCCACAAAAATTTACATCAGTTTTAAAAAGTTGATGCAAGAGAATGTGATATGAGACAGAGTAATTGGCATTGGCCACCCTTCACTTTGCTTTCTTGTCCCACCCTTGTATATATATATATTTGTTTATTTATCCCTACTCTTTGCTTAGCACTTTTCTTGAGGGGATGGATTCTTCTTTATTGAGAGAGAGAAAGAGAGCTTTTCTTCCTTTCACTTGCTTGTGATACCTTTTGCATATTTCTCAGTTTCACTATCTTCCATCCAAGGTTCATTTCATAAGAGCTGCTTCTAAATCAGATTTCAATTACAATATTAGTGTATATATTTGAATAAATTCTTACTTTCCTGATGATGAATCTTTTTAATTATCTGCTAAATTTGTAGTATTTCCATTATTACATTCCAGAAGTTAATTTGGCATACTAATGCTAATTAAATTATAACAAAAAATAGTACTAGCTAGAAGCATGAACTAATGATGAAGAAAATATAAGAAATTTGCTGAAATATTGGTGTATGACTTCATCTGCATCCTACCTTATTTAGAAAATCAAATTCTACGGCAAATAAAAATAGCCATAATAAATTAATATATATTAAGAGTAGAGAAAACAAGTGAAGAAATTATTTTAAAGTCGTGACATCTAACTTGTTTAAAATTAAAAAATGTAGAAAAAAATGGAGGGTTTATTATGCACCAATTATGCTGATCCTTCTTTGGGTCCTCTTGCATACAAGAAGCCTTATTACTTAATTTAGCCCCCTAAAAGCATTTTTGCTATAATTAATCACTTTTTAGCCTTATCATCAGAAAATATAGCTCACTTTGCCTTTTTCAAGTGTAGCCAGTCAACGGGCCAAGTGTCAAACATCCACATCTTAATTACAAATATATATATATATATGTATATATATATGCAAATTACATATCATATGCAAGCTTTATTCCCCTTCTCTTTTTCCATTTCAATTGTTTAACCTCTTTTTGAGTCAAAAAAATTTCAGAAAGCCCATAAAGGGGGTCTAAAGCTTTTGTAAAGGTATGTCTAAGAAGAAGACAAAGGCATTGTCTCAGCGGAATATATGCTTTATCTCAAGCTTAAAGAGAGAGCCATGAAAAATCCAAAACAAGGGGCATCGCTTTGCTTTCTGTAATATCACCCCCTTAACCACCAATATAAAAATTTCCTTATTCTGTCTGATTTTTTTTTAATAGCTTTGGTATAATTACCCACACGTTTTCTATCTTTGTTAATGCTCAGCCAGTCAGCCCAATGATTCAATGACTTTTGCTTATGCATATTTCAGTTTCCATCTAAAATCACTTTGATCAAAGTTTTATCCTTTGGTTCTTTCAATATGAGATCTTTGATGGATCATGTTCTTCACACAATCAAAAAAGAAAAAAAGGGTCTGTCCCAAAAAATCTAGAAAAAAAAAATAGAGAAAAGAAAAGCTTTGTTTCAAGGATCATATATATGAAACATATAAGACAGACCAGATTCTTTTTCTGTCAACATATTTTCCTGGGTAAAAGGCCAGATAATAAGACATGAGAAATTGAAGAAAAAACCACATAGCTGCTGCCCGGTGCTTTGGAGGAAGAATTTGGTGGGTAAAGAGCTTTACGTGCGTGCTTTTCAAGGCAACAATGGGTTCCACTCTTTGCTTCTTGCTTCTCAGCAGAATTTGAACAAAGTTTCCATGGCATTTCTTGTGCAACAAAATGCAAATTTTATGTGATATGACGTTGGAAAAGAACGAAAGAAATTGAAAGATAGATAAAAAAAAAAAAAAAAACCTTTGAATAAGTGTATGATAAGAGAGGAAGACATAATAAAAACAAAAGTAAAGGCTTACTGATTGCTTTGGTTGATAGAATTATTATAGATGATTTAAATACTTCAAAAGCAAAGTTTATCACTTTTTTACAAATGATTTGTATTAAGCGTAAAACTATTCTTTCCTTTTACATTTTATTTTTCAGGCAAACGATCTTAAACAAAAACAATCCAATCAAGAAAAATCATTGGATTTTACTGATTTACGTCTTTTTTCTGTTTTTTTTTTTTTTTCTTTTTTCGGATCCAAGGACTCTTTAAGAATTGGGCTAAAATATTGGGCCTTTTGGAAGCTTATTAAGGACCACCGATGTTTTGAATTTGACACAGCTCAGCTAGCTATTCTTCATTTTTGCATGCCTAATATCTTGGGCTGGAATTGTTATTCTGGTCTAATCAACTGGGGGCTTAGTGACATTTTCTTTTTCCACTTGACTGGAATGTAAAGCCCAGTATGTTATTCTTCTCTGACGAGAAAGGGTTCACCATTTTTATACAAGGCGGCCCAGGTTCACCATTTTAAGACAAAAAGCCGTAAACAGGAGATGGGTCCACTTTTGATTTGCTGGTCTCTTCCCCACCTCCGCGTGCTGTTGCCTTTCAAGTGGCTGCTTGAGCTTTCTATTGTTTT